CTAAAAAATTAGGCTAAATCAGTTATTTCCAAATAAAGACTTTATGTAGAGTCTTCTATCTTGCCGATCAAAACAGAAAAATTGAAGGAAAAAAAAGTCTCTCATTTTCCTCCCATTTTTGTTTTTCTTGTTTGCCCCCTCGGTTACATTTCTCTTTAGCCATATTGTCACGACCCAAACCCGGCCCTATGGGTTTAGCACCGTAACCGGCCAGTAATCTGAGATTACCGAAGGCCTGCTTAACAGTAGTACAGTAAAACAGTGTACAGGGCCTGGCGGAAGCCAATATAGTAATTAAACAATGCCCAATGAGCTGTGACAATCTGCATGCAAAAGGACTTTCCAAACATATTTACATTCAGTGGAAAGGTATACACAATCTATACAATCATTCAGAATAGGGACCCAATCCCTATGAACCGGTACAGTAAACATTCAGTCTATACAATCCATTTGGTTATTACAAAACAGCAAGACAGTACAGAAGGGGGAGTCCTAAAACACCCCTAAGCCTTAGCATGATAGGCTTGGAACCTCGCAGTGAGGCACGGTAGTTGGCTTGACAAAACTGGAGTAACCCTGACGCTCCTAGCTCAGATCTGGTGCCTGAACACCTACATATATATATGAGCAGTGAGCTAAAGCCCAGTGAATAACATAATGCATAAAGAGGTTAAGAATGAATGTCCTTACCGTATGAAAACAGTTCATTAAATCAGTATTTCAGTCGTTCAGTCAGTACAGTCATATGTGGTACATCCATTAGCATAACAGTACAGTAAACAGTAGGTCTTAAAAGACTGAGCAATAAATGATGGCCATCAGTCAGTAAACAATAGTGATTCCAACAAGGGAACCGACAGAGATCTCTGTAACAGTAACAGTAGCAGTAGGTGCTAAGGATGCCACAATACAGTTCAGAACATAAGACATACATTCATTCAATTAACAGTATCAGTTCAGAAAGCAGTACAGTTCAGTTGTTCAGAAGATAATCATTTCGAACATATCTTTACACAGTTGTTACTCACAGAGTTTGGGCTACAGTATGCTAGAGCGTGCCTCCCCAATCGCCAACCCTACACAGTTAACAGATTGAACACACTAAGCTACACAGCTGGGAAGGATAATAACTTAATCCCTAATTTGCCTTGGTGTGTTCTACATCTATATCCTCAATAAGATGTCTTAAATTAGGTCTAAGAATGCCTAGAATGGGATGAGGATGCAAAGATATTCTTTTAAAAGCATTTTCAAATTTTTCAGAAAACAGAGGTCACGCTCGAGCGTAGGTCACTCCGCTCGAGCGGTCATGCAGACAAAAGTACCCGCTCGAGCGGTAAATCCCCCGCTCGAGCGTACTGCAAAAGTACTGGATGGGTGAAATCTCCGCTCGACGGACGCTCGACGCCCGCTCGAGCTTGAGACACAAGACTCCGCTCGAGCACCCAGTCCTCCGCTTGAGCAGATTGTAAAACAGTGCAGAGATACTGGATGCTCGGATTCCACGCTCGAGCGTCACCTTACCCCGCTCGAGCGGGAGTGCAAAATCTGGAAATTCCAGATTGCACCTCCAAGCTCAAACTCCAGCTCAAATGCATCAAAACCGATCCTCTTGGGCCCATTTTTTGGAAAACTCTTATAAACTCATAGTTAAACATGATTCAAAACTCAATTTGAGAAGTCAAAGCCCAAGGGTGTTTAATCAAACCTAATTTCAAACCAATTTCACAAGAACAATCCTCAAACATGACATGCATGATCTTCAAATAACTTTCAAGCTTTAAAACATGCTCTAATGAGCCAATTGACTCACAAACATGATGAAAACATGGCCTACACTCAAAACATGGACATGCATGTGACGATTTGTCAAGAACTCAACTCAAACAATACTAACATGCATGTAAGGAATGAGCTTCATTTCAACAACAATGAACCAAAACATGACTTAGTTCTACCATGAAGCATGAATCATGCAAGAACTAGCTCAAACACATCAATAAAGGTTGATTTCTCTTACCTATGTCTTCAATTAAGGGCAAGGGAACTAGATTAGCAACCACACTTCAATTTCCTTCAAAATCTAAGCAATATTGAGATGAAATCAACTCCTCAAGTCTCTCTTTCTCTCTCTATCGACTAAGGCAAGGAGAATGGCTGAGCAAATGTGTTATGTGATCAAGTGTAATGAAGCTCACAATGAATCAAGTAGTGGCTACTAAGGCTAGTTTGGTAAATAAGGCCAACTTAAGCAATTGATCAATATTTAATCTAATTTAGTCATACTAGATCACATTTCAGGTAAATACACCATAAAATCACATTAATTATGATGATCAAGACACACTAATCAATTTCGGATTCGGCCGCCGATAGGGCCTTCAATTAACAGTTAAAAGCATAAAAAGGTGAACAGATAATCAAACAATCAAACAGATAAATGCACAAGTAAACAGATATACTCAGTCAATTCGGTTCTAGATTTCAGTCAGTCAGTTCAGTATTTCAATCAGTTCGCTTATCAGTCATAATCAGTTCAGTTTAACGGTAATCAGTGGTTATGCAGTAAACAATGGTGAGGGTTATTACACATATTTTCGTGACGTGGACCTTTTCCTAATTGAAACATTTAAGCCTTGCTTGGGATGTTAGCTATTTTAGTTGGCTATTTAATTTTTTTTTAGCTATTTTAGCTTGGTCAAAAAAAATTATGTTTGGAAAGTTTGTTTTTTTTAGTTGATTTGATAGTTGTGAGAGAAAAAAAATGAAAAGATTATGAGTTGAATGTGACATTTTGTAATTGTTTGGGAAGTTGCTATTTTAGTAGGCTATTTTAATTTTTGGCTATTTTAGTAGGCTAAAATTTTTGTGTTTAGAAAGATAGTTGGATTTTTTTGTAATTGGATGTGATGTTTGTAAGAGAAAAAATGAAATGATTATGAATTTGATGTGACATTTTATCTGATTGATTATTTTAGCCTATTTTGTTATTTTGTGAATTTTAGCCTAAAAAGCTAAAAAAAACCTTTGCCAAACACCCCATTTGTCTTATTCATTATTTTAGCCTATTTTATTTTTTTGTGAATTATTTTAACCTAATTCTCTTGTCAAACAAGGTGTGCTTGAGTAGTATTTAATTTAATAGAACAAAATAATTATTTTATCAAAATATTTATTCTTATTATTGATTAAAAACATAATAATAAGGCCATGTTTGTTTGGGCGGACTGGATTAGCATTCCCATGACTAATAGTCCTAGGATTACGAATCTGTTGGATTATGTATCCTAACTTAACTAATAGCCAAGTTTAAAATAATTAATTCGTACTTTAATTGTTTAACCAAACATCGGATTAATAATTTTATTGGACTATTAGTCCAATCCCAAGGTCATGTCCACTCAAATAAACATGACCGAAATGTATTTTAAGTGGAACCATGATTTACAATTATAAGGGAATTATCATTTTATATGAGACTAAAAAATAACCTTTTCATTTTATTCCATCTCATTTTGGTAAACAAAATAGAGCATCAACCATCCTTCTTAGATTTTTCCGTATGAGTTCTACAAAAATTGAAAAAATCACAGAACTAAGGCCACATTTGAGAAAATGCCATTTCTGTTTAAAAAATAGAAATAAAATCAATCGTACACTTTTATTACAATTCCATTTTAATTCTTATACTTTTGCTTATATTTTTTATTTTGATCTCTTAATTTTTAATTTTCATCAATCTAAAATTAGATGAACATAAAAATAATATTACAATTTAATTTAAAATATAAAAGATTAACGGTCACAATTAAAAATGTAGAGATCTAAATGAGATTATAGTAAAAATATAAGGGTGCTACATATAGGCGCTGTTTGGGAAGTTGGGGTTTGGGTTTTTATTTTTTATTTTTTTATTAAAAGACAAATTGATTATAAAATCAAAAAAATAAATTCAAACAAAATATTATATCAAACCCTATAATCATTTTATTTTTCTTTCACAAATATCTTATCCAATCACAAAAAAATCTAAATATCTTCTCAAACACAAAAAAAATTTTCTCCAATAATATCGTATAACTTAAAAAACCTACAAAAAAAAATTCACTTCCCAAACAAACACACAGTACACCTAAATAAATTTGTTACGGTTCGCTTGACCATCGAAGACCTGAATTCGGATCCTGGGAATGGGTCTCGGGTTCGGGGCTCCACCTTCCATAGAGAGACTCTGCGATTTGCTAGTCGCGTGATCCTAGAAAAAAAATCATATTAAAATAGGAATTGATAATGTTACCTGCTGGTGGACACCTAAACAGTGTACTCGCTCTATATGACCATACTATTTAGGTTTATTTATTTATTTATTTTTTTACAGGAAATCCTCCCACTTTCTCACAGGTCAAAGGCCTCTTTATAGAGATCACCAGAGTGTTCTGTTAGCCGTTCCAAACGATGAAATTATACTCTGGGAACTTGTCCTGATCTCTCAAGACAAGTTCCGCTTAAATTAGGACTCACACAGTAAGAAGTGTTAAACTCACACAAAATGTTAATTAGACAATTTAAGATTTAACCTCCTAATTAACTATACTTCACCCAAGAGGTTGGCCTAAAAAAAATATTGAACTTGTGACCTGGAAAGTTAATTCTCAGACCTTAATCACAATGCCACCCATCTGGGGTTACTATTTAGATAATTTAGGGGTTGTCTGGGATGACCTAAATAAGTACACTTTTTATTTTTTTACAAAAAGATGTGCAAAAAATAAAGAGATAATATGATGAAAAAAAGATAAAAAATATGTACTAGTCAAACTTGACCTCAGTAAGGTCAGAAATATAATTGGATTTTTCTGTCATTTCGCTCACAAATCTAATACGTGGCTGTCTCTTCTAGCGAGTACAGAATCTTTATCTACTCCAGCGATTCCCGAGTGTAGACTGATATCATGCGCCGTGAGTGCAGTGCGCACCAACACTCATCATCCTCACTTTCACAGAGAACTCTCTCTCACTTCACCTTCAGACTGTACTTCCAGAAATTGCTGTGTCTCTGCCTCTGTCTCTGTCTGTGTCTCCCTCTCTCCACTCCTTAAATAACCCTGACTCCATCCTAGCACTTTCTCAAACCAAAAAAAAATCTAGGGTTTCAATTCCACTACCTCTCTCATTCAGCTCAATTTCACAGACTTTCTTAATTATGTTTGTGTATGTATTTTGAATGAGTTGCTGAAATGGATCCTCCGATAATCAACGAGGCTTCGTTCTCGGCAGCAAACCCTTCGTCGTACAGTTTAGCTGAGATTTGGCCGTTTCCGATCAATGGCGAGCTGAGCCGTGGAGGAGGAGGGTTAGGGTTGAGGATGTGTAACTTCGGCGCATTCGCAGAGGCCAACTCGAACCGTGACGTCTCCGTTGACGAATCGACGGTTACGGAGCAGAGCGGCGGCGGGAGGAAGCGGAGGGATGCGAATTCGGAGGAGGATGAGTCATCGAAGCTCGTGTCCACCAGTAGTGCCAAGGATTTGGTAATTCACTCTTTGTTCATTCAATTACTGCTCTTAATTTGTGGCTTTTTGTACATTCCCAATATTTGCTTATTGCTTTATTTTTGTTGTGATTTTATGGTTTTCTGTTTAAGGTAATTCCAGTTCTTGAGCTTTGTTTTTGGATAAACTTGGATTAAATTTTAATTCTTCTCCCTCACAATTAAAAATGTAGAGATCTAAATGAGATTATAGTAAAAATATAAGGGTGCTACATCAAATATAGCATTTATTTGTTGAATTTTATGATATTTTATTGGGCAAATTACCACCCAGTTGTATTTCTACAAAATTGTTACAAATTGATGGGAAAGTTTAAGAATTTAATTATTAATATTTATAAAATGTATCACTGATCTGTAATTATTATTTTTTTAAATATACACTGAATTAAAATTTCTCCTATTTTATTTAGCTCATGTATAACTTTCATGCCCTCCTTTGTTACTTTAAGGGGAAATTCCATGTCACTGGAATTTTCACAATTTAATTGCACATCCATGAAAAACTTATGATTTCACTTTTTAATACTTATAAAGTTTATCATAAATTTGAAAATATTTTTCTAAACTTATATTGAAATGAAATTATCCCTTAATTTTAAGGATTTTCTTGTATTGTTTCCTTGTTTTATGAGCACAATAAAATAAAATAAAATATGATTTTCTTCTTTGCTTGTCTTTCTTTTTATTGTTTTTCTTTTTCTTTTTGTTAATTCTATATTTATTGGGAGCAAATATTATTCAAGCATTTCAGCAAAATTTAACTATTATTTCTTTTATTTTTATTTTTGGTAATCTATTTAGTTCTTCCTTTGCTCATGGAAATTAAGATGTCTTGTGCAAATTTCTATTTACTAATTATTTTTTGTGCTTTTTAAACCGTTGATCCAGGAATGACTTATTATGCTATTTTCCCATATTTTTTATGTCAAAAAATTGGGAATTTCTCAGTCCAACTATACTACAGTTTATCAAAATCAGGGGTGTCAACTCTGAATTGGTTTTGTTTTCTTTCTGGGCAGAAGAATTCAAATGGTAAACGAATGAAAATATCCAGATCAAGAGATGAAAATGGTGGCTCAAAATCTGAAGTTGAAGCAAATTCTGGGCTGGAGAACAAACCTGCTGAGCAAAGCACAAAACCTTCTGAGCCTCCTAAGCAAGATTATATCCATGTCAGAGCTAGAAGGGGTCAAGCTACTGATAGCCACAGTTTAGCAGAGAGAGTTAACTATTCAAACCTCTTGTACTTGCAATTTGTTATAGTTCGTTTATCCATTGAATTTTGAGATACTTTCTAAACTGAAACCTTTTTTTCTTGTCTTGTCAGGCTAGGAGAGAAAAGATCAGTGAGAGGATGAAGGTTCTGCAAGACTTGGTCCCTGGATGTAATAAGGTACGTGTATTTTGTTGTTAATTTTATGGTTAAATAATTGGAGAAATCTTAAAATGCTCTTGATAGAAAATAGAAAACCAGTTGTTTGAAATCCAGAAGTTTAGTTTTACCTTAGTTCCTACTTTAATTTTGTCATAGCATTGTATTCTTCCTATTATTTACATAATTTTTATTTGGTTAGGTTATTGGGAAAGCACTTGTCCTTGATGAGATTATAAATTACATCCAGTCACTGCAGCACCAGGTTGAGGTAACTGTATTTATCCGGACATTTTTATTGCAATTCTATGACATTACCAATGCTCCCTCGGTAGAAGCTAATTCCTTTTTTCCCCAATGACTTGGAAATTGTAGTTCTTGTCAATGAAGCTTGAGGCAGTCAATTCAAGGATGAACTCCCCTATTGAGGGATTTCCTTCTAAAGATGTAAGTCTAAATGCACTGACTAATTATACAGAGTAAAGTGAAAAAACTATTATTTATGTAAAAGTACCATCTAATTTTTTTTTTATGTCTCATTGGAAATGCTTGTTTTTTAACTCTATTATTATAGAAACTGCTGTTTGTGATTGGAAAATTAGCAGAATAAGCTGTCACAAAAGGTGGTGATTTGGACTGTTATTTAGAAGGGTTCAAAAAGATCAAAGGGGCAATTTTAACTGTGCTACTGCTAAACATAACTTCATTCCTTTTGATATTACATTTGAGGTCTAGATTAAAGATAGATTCTTGTATTTTCCAATAAGTCTTTTAGGAGTTGTTGCCATCAAACTGTTGGGATTTATACCACATCCCACCACGAGAACAGAAGCACACCATGTACACATCAAAGAGAAGACCAATCATATACAAACTTACGTGGTTTGGCCCAAATTGTCTACATCCATGGGAGACAGAGATTCCACTATATGAATAAAATAGAGAGTACATGTGAGACGGCCAAAATACTCAAAACTACACCACTATCCGAATTCATGTTCAAGGATAGTTGAGCCCTCACTCACCTCGGTGCCCTCACGGTTTTTTTCTCTCACCCTTTACAACTTTGTTTTTTTCCTTTTCTCAATCTCTCAGAAAAAGCCTATAATTCACATGACTATTTATAAAAACCTATAAGAATCCTAATTCCATTCAATTAGGTAACCAAATCTTATACATATTGGATTTCCCAGTAGATTCCAGACTCTACTAACGTAACTCAAATACATGTTAAAATCAATCTAGCAATTGTATTGAACCTACATATATCACATGGGTGGATCAATCCCAACACAAAAACCTCGTATCAGAATAGCTCCCCAATAGCTACATGAAGTTCAATAACTTCATTTGACTGCTCTTTTTTTGGCAGTTGGAAACTATGTTGCATGGACTTTTCGTTTTCTGGCCAATACCGGTGTCAACACGATACGACACTGACATGGGTGTAGAATCTGGCTCGAACGTGACACTTTGAAAAAGGATACGGCAGATTGAGGAAGACGAACCAGTGATTTGGTAGATTGAGGAAGAAAAACACAGATTGAGGAAGATTGAGGCGCAATAGATGCCGATTCACGTTGACGTTCGTCTTTCAATTACCGAAGAGGAGAGAGAGAGAGAGAGAGAGAGAGAGAGAGAGAGAGAGTTCTCAAGTCAAAACCTTATCTCTTCTGTTATGTGGCAAATTGCTGCTCTTAGCTTCATTTTTTTTTCCTTTTGTTTTTGATTTAGTTTTTGTTTTAATTAACAACTAAAAAGAATAATCATATTGGGCCAGCCCACACTTTTAAAAGAATAGGCCTGCCCAAACTTTATTGGGCCACAATACTTTATAGTTACAATATTAATTGGGCTAACTTTTCACTCTTAATATTATTAAACTTTAATCCAACTTACTTTGGCCTGTCCAAACCAAAATTCTGCAGGAAAAAAAAAAAAAAAAAAAATTTCCAGATTTAGCACCTAAAAAAATAGTATAAAAAAAGAAAAAAAAACTTAGTAGGATTAGACCTCTGCTAATTTTTTTAAAGGGCACTTAGGCAGAAAATCCAATCTTGTGTTTTTTATGCTCGAAGGTCCACACACTACTTTATTATGTCCATAAGGACAAGCCTTTGCGAAATGATAAAAATACCTATGTATATATATATATACATGGTTTCCAAATCAAACCCTAACCAAACCATTTTCGCCCTTTCTGCAGTGCTCTCTCTCTCTCTCTCTCTCTCTCTCCCCACCACTTCCCTTCACCCTCTGCCACCACCACCGCTGCCGTCGCCTTTGCCGCCACCTCGCCTCACTCGACATCTTCATTAACCTCTTCACAATCGTCGCCACGCAGCTCTATCACCATCTTCCTCAATCGGTCACCACTGTAGCTTTGTCGCACTCTCCAATCATGATCTGACACCGTCTCTCCTATGATCTCATCTCAAATACTCTCACCACCTCTCATCTCCGCTGTGGTCCTTTCATTGTCACTGTCCGATTCCCAATCTTCTCATCTCTAGCGCCGGCGCTGTCCAAAAGAGTGACGTGAAAATCACCACCACCCACTTCATCTTCTTCGAGCCACGACCATGATCAGTCCCCTGAAACTCCTCTTCGGATGCTGTGTTACATGGACTTGTCGGTTTGTAGCAGAGTACCCGTGTCGACATGACATGACACGGGTGTGTGTGTGAGATCTGTGTCGAATTCGGCATGGTTTTCTCAGACACGGCTGACATGAGAGGAGTGAAGAAGGATTATGGAGAAACTTACAAGTTAAAGTGGAGAAGGAAGCGATCGCCATCGCCATCGCTATCGCCATCTTTTATTCTCACTAGCAATCTCAATCTGTCTTCTTCTCTTTGTCGATCTCTCAATCTTCTTCTCGCTGTCGATCGATTTTCTTCTCTCTGTCGATCGATCTTCTTCTTCTCTCTCTCTCTCTCTCTCTCGATCTTCCTTTCGTTTGCTCTGTCTCTCTACCTGTGTCTATCCATCTTCTACACTCTCTCTCATTTTCTCTCTTCTTCACTTTCCTTTTTTTGACTCTACTTGTCTCATTTATAACACACACATTTATATAATATCAATTAAAAAAAAGTTTATATACATAAATTTAAAATATTTTTATTAAATATTTTATTTCTTATTTGTATGATATGTGAGACTTACAAAATATGATAATGCCAATAAAAAATAAAATACTAAGAATTTCTAGTATTACTCATATAAATAATTTATATGCATTCTATTTTTTAATTTTATATTGTGATTTTTTTATATTTATATACAAAATAAATAAAAAAATTATTATGTTTATATAGAATTTATTTATATATGTGTCTTCTACAATATAATTTAATGGCAATAAAGAAAAATTATTATATTTATATACAAAACTAAATACAAAAATATTTTTTTTATTTGGGGTTGATTTGGGAACGTAAAAAATTAGTAAAAAAAATCAAAAAGCTATCAATAAAGTCAAAGAATTTAAAAGGTTATTAATATTTCATATGCCGTGTCCCCGTATCCATATCTATTTTTTGGATACTTTTTAGCTGAGTCCTCATATCCTTATTTTTATGAATAGGCGAATCTGACACGTAGACACATACCTGTATCCAACACTCGCACCCGAGTTCGTGTCACATAGTTCGGATCTCAACCGCAGATCCACCACCTCCTCTCTCTCCTCCTCTCTCTCATGGACTCCACCTCTCGCCTTGCTGTTGGTATCAACAATGGCACTGTGTATATTACATATCCACCAACTGTTCAACCAAATTCCCTAATGAACTTCTTGCTAATGAATGGGTTGGTTGATTAGGGGTTTGTGCCATTGGTTCAAAACTTCTCTATTTTTTTTAGTTGTTAGATTATTATTATTAGTATTGTTGTTGTGGTAGATTTGGATCTGCGGAGATCTCAGATTAGATCTTTATTTTTATTTTTTTTAGTTGTTTATTATTATTGTTATTGTTGTCGTTGTTGATGTTGATGTTGATGATTGGGGGTGGACAACAGTTTACCCGATCTACAAAACCCGCATACAAATGGGCGGTTTCGCAGACACAATGCGGACGGATACGGTTTGAAATATGGCATGTTTGCGGGTTGCGGGGGGGTGGATTGCGGGTTTAACACGCACCCGCAAGAACCTGTCTGTATTTTTTTTTATTAATCTTAACCATTAATTTCATTCCTATATCCTACCTAGATATTTTTTGCCCAAAATAAAACACCAAACCCTAATATTTTTCTTTTTTGTCAAAGGAATTATGAAGATTGAAGATTAAAGTACCTATTTTTCAATTTGTTTTTGTGCAGAGTTCATCAACCAAATGAATGGAATTGAAATTTTTGAAAGTTAGATGTGATTCATGATGGAGTTTCAGATCTTGCAAATGTTTTTATTTTATTTAATGGGTTTGAATTGAATGAAGTTTCACAACAATTTTTTTTTAAAAAAATTTATTATTGCATTTTGGATGAATATAAAAGTTAATGAAGAATTACTTTTAGGTACTATTAGGATTTTGAATGATTTTATTTTAATTGTATTGTTGGGTAGTAGATAGATAGTGAATGAGATTGATGATTTAGTTCAGGATTTTGAAATATGTGCTTGTGTTACTTTATAATTTGATTTAGGATATGATTTGTTTGAGTTAGGAATTGATTTTGTTGCATTTTTAATTTTATAAGTTTTAATTCATTAATCATTAATGTTGGAGCATTTTAGAAAATAGGGGGAAAAGGGCTCAAAATAAATATTTATAAAATGGGGGGGAAAAAAAGCTCAAAAAAAAAAATTGAAAGAAAAAAGTCTAATCCGTAAACCACCCATAACCGCCCACCCAATCGCAAACCGTAACCGTACAAATCGCAAACCACAAACCGCATTGCAGGCAATTGCGGGTCGACTTTTCTCCAAACCCCATACTTACAGGTGGGTCCAAACTGATTTCAGTTTTCAGTTTTCAATTTATATTTACAAAAATTTAAAAAACTGTCATAAAAACTTGTTTGGTAAATATTTTGGTTTATAAACCTGTGGTTTCAGTTTATAAATTTGGCCAAAATTTGTAAACTCAAAAAATAAGTTTACGTTTTCAGTTTTCAGTTTTTTTTTTTTTGACCACCCACCACTCGCCATCACCTGCCACCATTTTCCACCACCGTCTTCAGCCACCACCACCACCCATCACCACCGTCTTCTACCGCTACCACCAACTACCGTCTTCCGCTGCCACCACCCGCTACCACCATCTTCCACCACCACCACTTGCTATCACTTTCCACCGTCTTCCGCCGCCGCCACCATCTGCCACCTGCCACCACTTTCTACCACCGTCCCCCCCCCCCCCCCCCCCCCCCCCCCCCCCCCCCCCCACTCGCCACCACCATCCCCCCCCCCCCACCACTCGCCACCTACCTACCACCACCACCCA